TTTCCAATGCTGAGCCTTCAGGTAAGATACCTTGTAAGTGACTAAGAATAAAGAGCTGGACACAAAGTAATTGGAAATCAACTCTAGCTGCAAAGCTACCTGGACTGCCATGATTATCTATCCAAATTATCGGACCAACTCAGGAGTCTTCAACTTTGTTGCATATATGGGCAGTTCAGGAATTTTGAGAAAATGACTGCAAAATGACTACTCCAGGGATGGAGCTAATCACAAAATGTTGGGAGGTTCCAAGCTAAGTGTTCTCCTATGCTGGAGGCAGCTGCTTCCTAATGGTTGCTCATCGCCGACATAAAAGTGATGCTTCTTGTCTGTTTTGAAGCACCTTCTGCACTGAGAAGGTAGAAGAAAGTCAGGGTCACCTTTTTGCTCTGGGGAAAAGATGTGGTTTAGTTTCAGTTTCCAAAAAGGGGATGGGTTATCTTCCTGTACAGCAAAAGGGAGACACAAGAAAGTTTTCTGGCCAGGTTGAGGATACACAGCTTGCCTGGGATAAAATAGGCACACTGATGTGAAGTCATCTGGTAGAGCGTGAGCAAAAGCACCATTAAAAAAAATAGCACTGAAGACTTTTGCATCCAAGAAGTGGTTGATGTGATTGCCTTGGGCTCCATGTTAGGGATTGCTAGCCTAACTCAACTGAATCTGAACATTTAAAATTACTCTTCGCTTTAGGATGAAAAGATATGAGAAATATTTCTCACTGGACTAATCTATGATCCCTTCTGATTGTAGCATACTTGAATGCTTATAGTACTGTTAAACTGCTACCTGTTTTGTATCTTTTAAAATATTTTATTTCCACACTGGCTTAGGTAAAATAATGAAATAAGGTACAACAAAATGACTTTTTAGAGCTCCAAAAGAAAGCTGAAGTGAAAAAATAGCACAGGCCATTGGGTGAACAAGTACAATGTACATATAAAAGTAATTTTAATTCCACTAAGCTGATACTATTACTTTCTCTCAACTACTACTTTCTCTTAATAGTATTGATGTAAACCACCCTGAGCCCAATCACGGGGAGGGTGGTATATAAATCAAAGAAATAAATAAAACAGAGTTTGGTATCCTAACAAAGTTACAGTGATGGTCTACCATTCAGAGGTCCATGCAATAACAGGAGATTAAATTCTTCATACAGAGAGAAGCACTTTCCCCTTTGAATCTAATTACTAAGATATACATTGAAGAATATTGTGGTGATGATTGCCTTGGATCATTTGCTTTTTTCATTTTTCTGCTCTTTTGATTTTATTGGAAATTAAAACATGCTTTAGTTGAGACGTAAGAACATGACTGATGTGACAATGCATGCCATTTTCCTTTGTACCAGCTTTGAGTATTCTGTTTCTCTATAACACTGTCACTAAGCTGTATGCTAATTTCCCCACATAGTCTTCATTATCTTAAAAATATATTACTGTACACTCATGCATTTGCTCCCAGCCTACTTTTGCATGGAGCTAAAATGGGTTACAGGTATCAGAATGTAAACATTACTTGTCCTGTTAGGCAAAATGCATTGCAATACACTGATCTGGGAGTGTTAGCTCAATAAAGACAAGGTTGCTTATTGTATAGTACCTGATAACAGGCTAAACAGTGATTTTTTTTTGTTGTACTGTGGAATAAATGGGCCAAAGCCAAACCCTATGGATAACTGTACAGGTATACTAACTCTGCCATACATGCTGCTTACTAGTCAAATCTTCCCCATAACCTGCTTGAATAAAGCTAGCTTCTTGGAAGCTTTGCAGTTAATTCTGAACTTGTGTCATTTTCACAAAGAGTCTGAGCTTATGAGCTAAAAAAAAAATTCATACCTTATACCCAGCACCATGTTGATAGGGATCCCAAGTCCCCCTGGGGGGCGGGGAAACCCCCGCCCCAGAGGCCCGTTCCCTGGCGCTGCCGGATCAGGCCCCGGGGGGAACTCCTCCCCGACGTGAGCGTCACTTTGAAGTGACGTGGGCACGCCGGGGGCGGGGCCACGGCCATACAAGGGAAAACTCTATTGTTTTCCCTTGTATGGCCGTGGCCCCGTCCCCAGCATGCCCGGCGTCATAACGTCACTTCCTGGTGATGTATGTGTGGCGTGCACACGCACTCCTGGATCCACCCGGGAGTCCCCCGCCACCAAGGTAAGTTCCACTTGGCAACCCTACATGTTGATAAAGGTTTACAGTTAATTTCAGTTACAGTCAGAGAAATGCTTTTTACATAAAAAACTCCCCATACAGGGAAAATTGCTTTCTCATTGATACCATTAAAAAGGATATTCACTACAACTGTCAACATCTGATTGCAAGTCATTCCATTATTTCAAGTGATGCCATAAACAAAAGGACAAAAAGCCACAGAAACTCACAGTATAGTACTACATTTCCATGGAATTTAAGGGCCTAAAATAATTATCACATCAGCAAGTCAGAGTAAGACAAGAATTCCCAGAGGATCCACATTCAATAATATGCAGGTTTAGAGTTCACAATTGCAGTGGAAAAATGAATAACACAGTTCACAACCAATACTACATTTCAGTTGTGTGGGGGTTTTTTTGCTTCACAGAACATAGGAGCATATAATACAGAACAATGCCTGGAAACTAAGCCAGTAAGAGATGTGTTAAACAGAGTGAATGATACCTCAGAGACTTTAAAGTCTTAAGGAACCATCACATTTCGAAGACATTTCCCAAAGAAAACGAAGAGGATAACAAATGCACAATCATTGCCAATGAAACGTCATATGATAATTTACCAAACTTCTCTTATGGACAATATGCCCATAGCTTTTAGACTAAGTTATAAAAGAATAGTGGAGTATGTGTATAAACAATAAAATAGTAAGGGCACTCAATGAAATTGCTGAGCCGTCGGGTTAGAATGGATAAAATAAAGTACTTCTTCACCCAAAGAGTGATTAACACATGGAATTCACTGTCACGGGAAGTGGCGGCGGCTACAAGCGTGGACGGCTTCAAAAGGGAATTAGATAAGCATATGGAGCAGAGGTCCATCAGTGGCTATTAGCCACAAGGTATAGATAGGGACTCTGGGGCAAGTGATGCTCTGTCTTCTTGGTCCTTGGGGATGGGGGCAGCAGTGGGAGGGCTTCTAATGTCCTGGCCCCACTGCTGGACCTCCTGATGGCACCTGGTAGTTTTGGCCACTGTGTGACAGAGTGTTGGACTGGATGGGCCTTTGGCCTGATCCAACATTGGCATCTCTTATGTTCTTACCCTGAGAACAAGATAAAAGTGCACAAGTTTGGGCTCCTACAAATCACCCATGTAAGAGTACTCGCGGGCCTCTTCTGCCTTCCATTATTTTTAAAAATTTATTCAAATACTGGCCTCTAAGTAAATTGTTCACGACAAGTCCAGTACAACTTGCTATTCTCCATTTTATTGAAAAGTAACTGTAAAACTGTAAAAAGTAGACCTGCCACTGATCTCAGACTATGCTTTTTGTTTATTCAAATTGCAGCACTAATTGAATGCTGTTTCATTATTATATATTTCACAAATCTCTTTTATTAATACATGCTTTGGCCACTATTTCGATGGCATATAACCCTATACTACTGTTCCTTATAATAATAAATATCTGAATACTTCCAGGCATGTATTTATTATTTACAGTACTTATAGTCTGCCTTTCTCACTGAGTCTCAAGGCATATTACTGAGTGTAAGACAAATACAATCAACAGGATGGGATAGCTGAATTATCTTTTTCTAGAGACACTCATTCTGAAGTGACATTTACAGATAATATATCTATGCATGATTGCTTATCCTGGCTATAATTGCATATGCTATACGATCAACTGTCACGTATATTGCATTTCTCAATTCAGGTAGTTTGAGGACTGTAGTCTTAAACTGATAGCTTTCAATGTTGCTAATAACTTCAATAACTTTTTCAAATATGACTGGGATTTTATCCAAGTGCTACAAAGATCATATTTCTATTAAATATCTATTTCTATTAAAGGAAGGTTCCCATAGCTTTTGTTTTTTAATCTTCAATGTCTTTACATGATAACAGAGCAAAACACAGATAATGTGTGTTGCCCTGATAAGGGTACACTGTGTTTGGTCTGAGGAGTAGGGCCATGACTCAGTGTCAGAGCATCGGCTTTGCATACCAAAAGATCTTCAACAGTTCCCATTAAAAGGACAGGGTAGTAGGTGATGTGGAAGTCCCTGGAGAGCTGCTGCCGATCAGAGTAGGCAATACTGACCCTCAAGGTTTGACCCATGGTTTGTCTCCTTATAAGGCAGTTTCATGTGTTTAGTTCCACCACAAATTTGTGATGCTTCTGTCATCACTTTATGAAAACAATCCGTTTACTAATTCTAATTGTTACTATTATAAAACGGAATTGAAACTATATAAAAAGCAGCTTGTATGTAAAATAAGGAGAAAAGCTCAGCACACAAAAGAAGACACATCCAACTTTTCTGATCAATTTTTCATTCCCTGAACAGGGAAGAAACAGAATGCGTTATTTATATTAAAGAGAAAAGCCTTCTGCACATTAGTAACCAATTACTTTTTATTAGCGCAAATACAGTTATGAAAACTGTACATTATCTATTTTAGGTTCCAGACATATAAATAAAGAATCTCGTTAGATAAAGAGTTCATTCACATCAAGAAATTTTAAATAGACAAAGTGACATATCATTAAGTACATTGGCAGACTTAATCTGCTGTCCAAAATGTAGTGTACAGTATAACAACTATAAATAGCTTTTTATGCAAAATACAGCTGTGCACATTTTAGAAAAATATCAACATTTTTTTATTGGAGCCTTTGTTTTTAAAAAAGCTTATAAATCATACATAAATGGAACTAACATGCTGACTTAAATTTATAAATGTTTTCAAAAGCCATATTTGAAATAATTTAAATAAACATGTAATAATATTTATATGTCAGTTATAAAATTAGTTTAAGGAAAAACTGGGGTGAATTGTAGATAATAAAATATTGTTTATGACATCTTGTCATGTTACAATTTAAAAACCTGATTCTCAATTAAGAATTACATTTCTAAATTTAAGAGAAAAACATGTTGTTTTAAGAAATAAATAGGAAAGTTGTTAAAATTCTCATTTGCTGCCTTTTCTGTTTTCTTCTCAATTATATACCAGGATGCTTAACACATTTCTGCAAAAAATTCCACTCTGTGCCTTGCCATTGCTTTGCCCCAGACTGCAAGAGCAGATCTATACCCATTTCTTTGATAGTCATGAGTCTCTCTCTCTCTCTCTCTCTCTCTCTGTTTCCAGTAAACCATGCAAACAACAGTAACAACAGTAATGTACAAACAGGATAAAACCCTGAAATGTATTCTTTTCTAAGAAATAAAATAAACCAAAATCCAAGCCCTTTTAAAACCTTTTGCTTCTAAATTTTAAAATGCTGACTTTCAAAATGACCACACCATGTACAATTTTCCTATAAACAAGCATGCTTCTGAGTAATAAGGGATACGGTACTGCAATGGGGAGAAAACAAATACACAGATCACATCATCAACACACAGGACAGCAATTCTAGTTAAGACAAATAGTCCAAAATAAAAAGTTGAGGCTTAAGTTTTAACTGGCTGAGGTAAGATTACAGACTCATTTTTAACAACATTAAAGGCATCAGACTGATAATCAGTCATTATTAACAGACTTAAATGCTCTACCTGAATGTATTCAACGAAAAGGTTGACACTTCCTTTTTAAAGAAAATTATTATTTAATCTAAATATTAAAGAACAGCTTCCATTGTGCACTCAGGCAAGACTTCAAATGCTAGTAATAACACCCAAACCAATGAATGACACAAGGCTTTTTATACTATTTCTACCTCACTCTCCAAGTATGCTCATACAACCTGATGAATCTTGCTGGATTTAAAATAATTCTGCTTGCTACTGTCACAAGGAAGATAATAAACAATGGCTTCAAACAAAGTTGCATATTGCCTACTAAACCTTAATGTAAAATGAATTTACCAGCTTAGGGGGGGAAGTTCTGAAGACATTGATCCAAGAAAAAAATATATATACTGCACATATGCTACAGGCTTTATTTTTGACTTTCTGGTGCAGGGTGAAAACTAGTGAAGTTTCCAGGCATGTCTACATGACGATATAATAGCTACGGCTTTACATAGCATTTAAATAAATAGTAAATGAACAGATTCATGCATAAGCAAATGAAACACAATCTCCCAGAAAACTGCAAGGAGATCATAAAGCAGCAGGTAATGGAATAAGACTGGTGAGTGATGCTGCTAACTATTTCTTCTAATGAGATAGGAGTGAACACTGGAATCACTTCCACAGCAACAGAATCCTCGGACCACATTCCTCTGGCAGTCACTTTCCCGTCTCCCCCACCAAAACCATCAGACGACAAAATAGTAAGGCAGCTGTTTGCTTCCATCAACAAAAGTGCAGCTCCGTACATTTCCAGTTTAGTCACACTCTGCTAGAACAGATGGAGTAACCAACGCACTTCGGTAGCTGGGCTGCTTCAACAAGCTTGTGTGTGCATCCACATGATTTTTCTCCCCCAACATGGCTGCTTGCTTCAGGTTTCAGAGAACCGCAAAGCCACAAATCCTCAGCAGAGGAACTGTTCAGGCCCCTGGCTGAGTTTTCCAAGTTTCATCTCTCTCTCGTGTCCCATCCTAATTCCAAGCCTCCTTTCTCTGTGTCTGAACATGACTCGTGCCATTTAAAGGCTGATGACACAACTGCCGGGAACTGTGGGTTTACGCCACAAGTTGTCATGACTTCACTGAAGGATCAAAACAGTAAGCATGTTGAATCACTTTCAGGCATAGCTAAAATTAAAATGGGGGCAAAATTTAAAATTGCGAATAATAAAGCTTTGTAATTCAAAACAGGAGAACATCAAGGTTGGAGGTCGGGGTAGAATTTCATATGAATAATATAAGAATAATACTATTCTTACCTTTCCTAATTCCAATCAAGTTAGAAAATGGACAAAAAGAATGGCTAAACCAACATTCAACAGCATTACCAGGACAATCATGATTGAATTAGGAACCTGAAAATGAAATGAAATGGGTTCTGATTACATTCACAAAAAAGTAAGATAAGGAATCAAACATATTGGATCATAAATATGCTGCCTGCAAATTATATCACAACAACAAGCAGAATGAGACCTTATCCTCCTTATATTTTTACCACATCTCTTGAAAATAAATCAATTTCAAAGCAATAGACTTTGCACCTGATTAAAAATTTTCCTTCCTTTCCTTTCCTTCCCAAGAGCCATGTCTTTTTATAAAATACAACACAAAAATACATGTATGTAGGGTTGCCAGGTCCTATCTGTGATCTGGCGGAGGACTCCCGGTTCCTGCCCAGGATCTTCTGCCGTGTGCACTTTGCAATGACGTCACCTGAAAGTGCTGTCATCGCATCACTGACGTCGGGGGGTGATGATGTAGTTTTTGGGCAAAACTCTATGTTTTTTTCTTTCAAAACCATAGTTTTTGCCCAAAACCTAGAGCGTCACCCCCCCAACGTTGGTGATGTGGTGACATTACTTCTGGGTGACGTCATCGTGTTGCCGGTGTTGCCTGGCAACATCCCTGTTTAGCGGTGGGCCTTCTCCCGCCATCCAGCTGGCTGGATCCGGTGGGGAAGAAGTAGGCTGTCTATTGTTGCTCCCTTTCCCAAAGGCCCAGCAATAAGGACTGTAAAATGTCCCTGCTAGAGACCTGACCCATGGACCAGAAGCAATTCGTCCTTTTAAAGAACCTCCCATCCAGATCCAGAGGAAAGGAGTAAAGAGTGGGGAAAAGAAAACTGGAGGAGGGGGTAATCCTCTTTCTCTCTCGCCCTCCACACCTTTCCAGTTCTCAATGGATACAGTCCTTCCGTGGTTCAGCCGACCGGGTACACTGCGCAGGAGACACGTCCCTCCTTGCCACGATCTGGAACAAGGAGGGGGCTCCATTCCAATGCTGAAAGGGACGCCGACAGAGATTCTGCACCACCCTTGGCCGCCTCTCTTGCCTCTGCTCTCCCCAGACTCTTCACTGAGCACCTTGCCCCAAAACCGCTGCACGCCGCCATGGATGGATGGGGGGGGGGAGAGCAGTTTACCGCCGCCTTCCCAGCGGGGTCCAAGGCATTCCTCTCGGCGCCATGACCATCTGGGAGCCTCCCAGGACTGCCGGCGCCGGATCCATTGTAATTCGAGGCCTGCAGCTCTCCAATATGTTTTAGGGCTGGAAGGTAAGTACCTTCTCCCATTGCCCTTTAGGTCTCCGCTTCTTCTTCTGACCTTCCGGTGTCTTCTGGGATCTTCGTGCTCTTCAGAGCACAGCCAGCACGTCCTGCTCAGAAGGCAGGGCCGGTAAGACTGGGGATTAGAGGATAAGCCCCTCCCCTCTGGGATCAAAGTTTGCCGGCCCTGCCTACAGAAGGGGGAGGTGCTTTCCAGGAGTAAGGAGTCAAGGACTGCCCCATTCCTGGACCACGGGAGAATGAACCTGTTATGAAGTAGGTCTGTCTATTGAGCAATATTCTATGTAAATTCCTGACTTTTAAAAAATGATATAATATCAATAAATACTTTATTTTATACACTTACCAGAGCTTCATTTCGGCAAATGAACTGACACAATAAAGCAGGAAGGGTGTTCTTGTGATTCAGATCACAGAATGGGGTTTACAAGACTTCAAGTTATTTTAAATACCTGGTTTGACAGTAGATTTTTATCATCTTGGATTTGTTCTTTTCCTGTTTGTACCTCCTGCTATTAGGGCCGGAGCATGTTATGAATATATGCAGGGACTACTGCAAATATACTCAGTGTGACAACTTACCCTGCTGCAGATAATAATGTGCACTGTCAACCATCATGTTATTCTGAAGTCTGGCATGAAGAATTCCAGTAGCAGAGCTGCAATTTCTAGGACACATCTGATGTTTCATGGGAATTCTCTGCATCAGCTTCCAGAATGATGTGATAGTAGGTGCTATGTGTCACAGCTGTGACGACTGTCTCTAGGCAACAAGTGATATTTGTAATATGTGCTCCTGCCCTAAATTGAGGACCATGGACCTCTATTGCATGGAACTACATTGTCTAATAAATGTGATCCAAGCACTGGAATAATTTCTCCATCAGGCAAGACAATAAGTGACAGAATCTCAAGAAAGGGAAGGAGGGATAGGGTAAGGTACTTCATGGTATATCTAAGAAATTATAATGAGTTGCTGAAGCATTTTATTATACTAGCAATCACCAAGCAAGTTGCAGAGAACTTTGTTCATCTTATGGAATTTAATGTTTAACTCTAGGGTTGCCAGCTCTGGGCTGGGAAATACCTGGAGATTTTGGGAGTGGAGCCTGGGGAGGGAAGGGTTTGGGGAGGGGAAGGAACTCAGCATGGTATAATGCCACAGAGTCCAGCCTCCAAAGCAGCCATTTTCTTCAGGGGAACTGATCTTGGTCATCTGGAGGTCAATCGTAATAGTGGGAGATCTCCAGATGCCACCTGGAGATTGGCAACCATATGTGACTGATGCTGGCTTTTAAACCACAAATAGTGTGACTCTGAAATGCTTCAGGGAGAAGCACCATAAATAAGGCCCCAGAGCTCTGCGGTGGCTTAAAATAGAAGGAGGCAACATTAGTCTCCGTATTCCATGACGGATTTGAACAGGTGGTATAAAGAAGCCATAATAGAAAAGCTCAGAACTGTCTCATCAGCTCTTATATAACAGTGAAACTTAATGCATGTAACAGCGAAGTTTAAGGAGGAAAGCCTCGTTAAATAGTAAATTTAGAAAAAGAACTAACAAACCCATGTGCGGCTGAAGAGTGATGCATTCAGTAAATATGAAATTTTGTATCAAAGAAGTTCTAATTAGAAACAGGCAAAATTAGGCTCTGCTACAACAGCAGTTAAAAGAGAAACCTGTAGTTTAGTGGTATACAACCTGCCTCCCTGAGATTTTAGGCAGCCTCTGACAATGAAAGTTCAGGGCTAGAGGACCAATCTTATGGTTTGGCATAAATTATCTCCCTTTGTTCAAAAGTGAACTTTATTGCCATTATTGTAAATAAGCGTTTTGCTACATAACATAAGTAACTGCAATAAATTTTACATACTATGTAACCAATATTTGGTAAGCCAAAAATCATTTTAATATTCGAAGAACTAAATTCAAAACATTTTCTGGTGCTTCAGATTAATCCATCAAACTTCATCAGATTATATCCCCAATAGCTCTGTAGTTCTCATTTCTGTGGACTGGCACACAGGATGATCTGTTTGTTCTGTAAAGGCTAAGATAAGAGGTAGAATAAGGAAGATCATATTCTCCCCTGTGGCTCAAATGATAGTGGTGAAAAGAACAGAGGAATATCTGCAGACAGCATTATGCAAAAGCTCTGTGCCTAATGGACTCTGTAAGGACACAAATCCACTGCTGCAGAAAAATAATACAGCATTTATGGGAGCTTCTCAAACGGAAAGACTTTCCCTTCCTTTGAAACAGTTAAACAGAGAGAAGAGATCACATTTGTGGAACATTTCATTTCTCAATATGGAAAGATAAAAAACAAAAATATGACCTGTATAGATGACAAGTTTTGAAATCTATATGCACATAATCTCTGGTTTAGTTTAAAATACTGAGCATTACCTGCCTTGATTACACAATAATTGCCATGCAAATGCAATTACTAGATCAAACCCCACACTATCAAAATCAGGACAGTCCCTCCCTCCCCAGCAACCTCTTCCATGAATCATGCAACAGATGTGTGTACACATAATTTCTGACTATTTCCCCTACTGGCTCCCATCTCTTGTGCTACATCTCATATTCTTTCAATGGGCTTAGGGAGCTGCACTGGGGAGGGAAGGCAGAAAGAATAACTCCTGTCAATTTGTTATGTTCATGAATAATATAGGGTTCAACCCAACATACTTCATAGGGCAGAACTGATAACTGTAATCAGACTGCTTTGCCATACAAACACACTATGAAGAAGTTAGTTGCATATCTCACAGTATGCTTCTTCCTATACAGATTTGATAGCCAGGTATGAAAAAACCTTCTCTGTTAATCTGGCCATAAAATAAGTGCAAAACATTTATATACTCCTGTTCTCCAATACTTGTAAATATTGGCTGTGGTTAGTATGCTCAGGTGTTTGCGTTTCCCAAAATTTTCTTTACTGGGCTGTAAAAACAAGGGGTTCGATCCTACTGCCTTTTCACGGGGCATAGGATGGAAGAGGAAGGATCCTGCCTAATACCCCTCTTTGCGGCAGCCACTGTTCCATGTGGCTTTTGTTCTATATAAGCCCTCTAATGTCTGACACAGCCTTTTAGGGGGTTATCATGTGGTCATGCTCTTTCACCATTGGAAAAAACTGGTAGTATCCAACCCATAATGTCTGAAACATCCCTGAGTGATTCTGTAGACGATAACAAGGTTTTCAGCTTGGATGGCTGCACATTATCCTCTTGGTTTCTCCTCCAACCTCTTCCCCTGCATTTCTGGCCCCTACTTTCTGCTCCTGTCCACTGATTTTCTCTTCCTAACCCACTTTTGTCCTCTCCCACTTCCAACAAGAAAAGAAGAAGCCATCTTGGACTAGAGCTCAAACACCGCCAGCACTCAGGCATGACTTCCTCCCATCAATCCCTTCCCCCCCAGCTAGCTAATAGATCTTGGAAGTTGCCAGCACTGTGGCCCTGGCTGCTACCACTGAGCAATCCCTTTTTCTTCCGACCCTGTCAACACATCTTGGGAATTGCTGGGAACCTTTAAGTTGGTGACTAAAATCTTGCAATGGTACGCTTCTTCTTTCATTTGAAAGGGATTTAAAAGCCCTTAGTCTTTGTTTGCAGATTTTTCTGCAAACCTGAGGGGCTGATCCCTAAATTTCCTAAATTAGATCGAAAGGAATCTATTTTGGTTTAAGTGTAATGCTTATTATTTGAATTCTAAAAGCAACAAAATTCAAAATTAGTTGAAAAACACTGAAAATATTAACCTGAACAGGCAAACACCACAAGTATTTTTGACAGTCTGGCAAACAAGAGCTTCATTGGCCATTAAATCGCTAACTCACCCAAACAAAGAGTTTATAATTGTTTCTGAATGTGGGCTTCAGGTTTAAACCAACAGTACCTACCGAACTGACTTCTTGTTCCACTGAAGAATGGAAGTTCTTATTAGCTGGATTCTTTGGTGCAGCAAATTCAGGTTTCTTAAATGATTCTTTGGCATCTACCTGAACCCCAGATCTGACAGGGCTTGGCTTCGGAACGGATGCTACTAGTGCAAGAGCTGAAGATGACGGGTTGGCATGGTCCTCGTCTTCCCCAAGCTCATATGGATACATTGTTGGATTCATCTTCACATAGTAGCCATGGTAATGATCATGCAACTCCCCATTATCTTTGCTGGTAGGATTGTTGCGGGGTGAGAGCTTTGGCTGCTGTTTAACCAATATTTCCTCTTTCACGGGTGATTTTGAAGGAAGGGGCTTGTTAATTGTAGGTATTGTATTTTCACTGGTTATATATTTTTTTTCTTGAATGAGTCTTTGTGAGGTGGAATTCTGCTTTTTGACTTGTTTTGCAGGAGAAGGCTCAGCAGAGAGTTGAGGACTCTGTCTTGGGCTCTCTTCTGGGGTCCCCGGAGGTGTAGTCCCTTTTCGATAAAAATGAGGAGACTCTTTTGGTGTAGGTGGTTTTTCTGGGGCTTTTTCTTCAGGATTTTCCTTGACTTCCATACCCTCTTGAAATTTTTGCTTTATGTAATCAGGGCCTGAAACAAATAAAACATGAATTTGCTTAAATTATTGCAGGAACAAGGATGTATCAGATGCATTTTCCACCTGATGCTTTTATTCTTTCTCATGTTTTGCAACTCTGATAGTTTACTTTTGGATTCATCAGTCTGATTTTCTTCTTTAGACAAGTGAAATAAAAGCTAATTTAGCTCAATACTGGAGGTGTTATTTTTGTGCAGCTCTTTACAAACACAATTTTTGCAATCCCACTGTTTCCCTAGTGAACTCTATCACTGTATGCACATGCCTTACACCAGAACTTGTATTCTGAAACCATCAGGACCAGAGGTCCTGTTCACACTATTTCATCCCAGAAAAGCATAAGGTAAACCAATTCTGACAGGATAGTTCCACATGCATATCCTTTCAAAATGTGAGCCATAAATGCCAAGTGTTATGTCAGGAGAGGTCTTCAAAGAAGTGAAATGAGGACACCACTGAAACAGAACTTCAGAGTAGTACCTCCAGTGCTTTTAAACTCCAACTTTTCACTATTTGAAATTGTCCTTACAGTGACATAGTCAAGCTGCAAAATCAGCTTTTTGTGGGTAGCTTTTAGAAGAAAAATCACAAATCTGTTATGGCTTCCTTGAATTCCTCTAAGCTTGCCTGCATCTTTCCAGTACTGAAGTGCCCAGTTCCCAATGCAATACCCGTAGACATATGTAAACGAGGGACTATCACCTTGCTTCTCCATTATGTTCTTCCTTTGCATACACAGCCTAAAATAGCATTAGCACTTTTGCTGCTATATCACATTTCAAATACATGGGCTGAGCCTGCAGGGTTTGGCAGTTCACTTCAATGGGTGTAGGATCAGGTCTCTCATCTAATTTGCTGACTCCTATCACCTCTAAGTTTGTTTCACAGCATTGCTTTTGATCAAGTTTCTTCCTTCCATTTAGATTGATTATTCTTTTCTATTTTCTTACCTTGCCATTTTAAGACAGATTCTGCAACCTCCACCTTTCTGAAGCTACAACATGCACAAAAAAGGGCCTGAAATCTTAGGCAATTGTTCTTTAATCACAAGGAATACTTCTAATTCCAGTTGTAATTCTGTGTATCCCAGAGAATACTAACTGGAACGAGAAGAATTCCTGAAGACATTTCTATCTTTATAGTAATAGAAGGATGGCCCAATCTAATTTTACTTTGTATTTCAATCTTCAGCAAAAGTATTTTTAAAAAGTAATCTCCTTAAAAAAACTTTTAAAATTTATAATTAAAATACACCATTATAATAATTAATATATACACAGAAATGTTAGACTTGGCAGAAATTATATACATTGATTACATATCCTTCAAATGAATAATATAACTCCGAATACCCACTTGTCTATCAATATCTTGAAATGTTTGAAAAGCAGTTCATTTATATAGGTCAAATAGATCTTTAATTTTTACTAAATCTTCTCTATATCCTGGCAAAAATTAGTCCAGCATCTGTTATCAGATATAAAGTAAACGATTACAGAGACACAGGCAACATAACGTTCTAAAATACATAGAATTAAAGGTCACTTCTTATACTCTACTAGCCTCTGATTATCCTTAGGTTCCTATCTCTCTGACAAAAACAACAACAACTTTTGATGCCAACCCCCATGTCACCAGTGACGTTCCACCCCAATTTAGAAAAGTGTGGGATTTTTAAATTGCAGCTGCAGAATAAATACACCAGAGGAAAAAGAATGGTACGTAAGGTGGGCACAGAATCTGAAATCAAGATCTTACTGCTCTGAAAATCTGCAGTAAGACGTGTGTGCGTAATGGGCCAGAATTGGTAAACTCAAGGTATTTTGTCATCACAAGCAAGATACAATTTTGCCCCTCCCCCACACCTACTGAAACTTTCTAAAAAGCATGACAACATGGGTTCAACATGAGTTACCTATTTACTTTTGAGTTTCGCACAGAATTGTTATGTTAACTCCATAATTCACAATATTTTAGTCTTCATATATCAATTTGTGTAGTTGTATTTGTTGAATGATAATTCATTTCAGGCTTTAGTTAGGATTTATTTTATTTAATTAGGATCTATTTTATGCTATCTTCATTGGTGTCTACCTGCTTTCAGGTCAAATTCAAGGTGTTTGTTGTTACCTACAAGTACGCACATGCAATACATGGCCTCGGACCCACACTGGAAAGACAGTTTCTCCTGGTCAGGAATCTGTGCAACAGTTTAGATTTTCCCAAGCCTTTCTTCTGGAGGCCTAATTACATGATACACATTTCCCACGTATGTCCCCCGAAGTCCATTCAACAGACGTGATCTCCATAACTCCCAAACATGCACTGGTCTGATTCAGACTGGGACCAGTGTATGCAAGTAAGGGTGACTTAACTCATCTCTCTGCAATGGTTTCCCAACATGAAAGGGTCCTGGATACACACTATTTGTCTCGCTGAGGAAACATGTACTGATGGGGCTGCATGCTTCCTCAATGAAGCAACAGCTGTTTCAGGTCAGGAAAATGGCATGAGGGTGAGGTAGACTTGAAGACCCTCTCCCTGTATGCTGCAGTCCTGATCCAAATTTATTTATTTTGCTGCATTTACACTTCACTTTCCCCCCTGAATAGAGACCTAACCTGGCTCACATAGGCCTCCTCTCCTCCATTTTATCCGTACAACAATCTTGTGAGTGAGGCAGGTTAACAAAGTGAAGTAGATGAGTGTGTGACTGGACCAAGGTCATTCAGCAAGCTTCCACAGCAGAGTGAGGATTTGAAAATCTGGTCTCCCAGGTCCAACTCTCATATTCTAACCACTATACTATGCTGGCTCTCATGCACTTGGAAAGGCCTACAGGCACTTGGGAGGCATGGCTCTGCTCTGTGTGACACTATATCAAATGCTAGGTGGGTGAGCACCAGAAACTAATGCTTTTCTGTCCCGGTGTGAAGGCTGTTGAATTTCCTACAAAAGCTTACCAGGAACCAAAATCTGAAGTACTTTAACTACTAGATAAAGTATCCCCCCCCAGGCCTTTTGTTGACGTGATTCCTCTTGATCAGTTTAACTCACTGTACCCTTCCCTTCAATGTTTTTAAGCATTGTGCCATGAGCTTGCTAAGGTGTATGCTGCTGTTTTATGTTCTTATGCTAATTATGGCTTGATGTTAAATATTTTCAAATCTCTGCCTTTTTATTTTTTAAAAATATTTTATTTATACTTTTAAATTTTAACAGGTTCAGAACATCAAAAGTGAACATTATCACACTGTACAAACAATAAAACAAAATAGTTGTTTTAAGAAAAAGCAATAAGGCATACATCAGTTAAAAAATTAGATGGCATGAAATTATATACGTTTCTTTACGCCTCTGAGTATATCACAATGTTGACATAATTTCAATAAACCTTTTAGGAATAGTATTGGCAGGTACGATATTATCATTAAATGCTGCTTCTAAGAATGGTAAAAGAGCTGCGGTGGCTCAAGTGGTTAAGACGCTGAACTGCAGGCTGTGGAAGGTCGGTAGTTCAGCAGTTCAAGACCCGGGTGCCGCATGACAGAGTGAGCTCCCGTCTCTAGTTCCAGCTCCTGCCAACCTAGCAGTTCGAAAGCAAGAAATTGCAAGTAGATAAATAGGTACCACTTCAGTGGGAAGGTAACAGCGTTCTGTGCGCCTCAGCTTTGCGCGGAACAGCGTTCCGTGCGCTGGCTCTTTGGCTTTGAAACGGAGATGAGCACCACAACCCTAGAGTCGGACTCGACTGGCTTTCGAGCAAGGGAACCTTTACCTTTACCTAAGAATGATAACCATTTGGCATAAAACAGGGATTGAGCTTTGTAAGTATTGGATGGGGGTGAGGAGATTGCTATTTTCTCCATTGTATAAAATTCCCATGTTTGCATGTGCCATTGGTGTAAAGTTAATGAGTTAGTGCTCTTCCAATTTCTGGGAATTACGGATTTGGCTGCCATTAGCAGCAATGAGATAAGATCCTTATGAATTCTTGGTATTTCAAAGTCATCCCATAAGTCTAATAATATGAGAGTGGGTGAAAGAGGTAGAGTTATATTAGTTATTTTTTTAACATTTTGTAGGATTAGAGACCAGAAATTTCTGATTGTTTTGCACGTCCACCAGCAGTGATAGTATGTGGCAATTTCACCACATGACCGCCAACAAACAGGTGAGTATAATTTATTAATTTGGTGGAGTTTGGTCGGTGTGTGGTACCATCGCAGAACTATCTTTAAGGCTTGGGCCTTTATATTTAATGATTTGGAGGTCATGCTAGGGGATGACAAAATCTTAAGCCAAGTGGAATCGTCCACTGAAATGGAACAATCAGAATTCCAAGCAATTTGATGTGTTGTCGGAGAACTGGATGAATGGAGTAGTAGTGTCCTATAAAGCATTGAGATCATTCCAGTGCATGATGTAATATCTGATGATAATATTTTTTCTGCTAAAGTAAGTGGTCGGGATTCTACATTGTGAAAAACTGATTTCCATAGGTGTTTAACTTGTACATATTTGAACCAGTTAATCTTGCATTTGTATTTAGTTTCAATTTCCATTTTGGTTAATAATGTAGTTTTATCACCAATGTCTTTAAAGCGCAAGATGTTGTTGTCTCTCCAGGTTTTGAACGATATATTGGAATATCCAGGAACGAACCAGGATTGGCCTATAAAACAGGTAAGTATGGAGGGGGAGGGGGTTAGGGTTGCTTTCCATTTATCCCATACTTTCATAGAATTCAAAAGAAAAATATTTTCTTGTAGGGATGCTGGTCGTCTCTTGGGGGAGTCCCATAAAATCTCTTGGAACGACCTTGAATCAAGATATGTTTGTTCCATCATTTTCCAGTGAGCATGGTAATTTGTACTATATTGTTTAAAAATACCTATGAGTGTAGAGGCTTCGTAATATAGAGATAGGTCAGGTAGGGATAAGCCTCCATTCTTCGGTTGTCTTCTTAGTGATATAAAGCTGATCCTATGTA